TCCACTCCATGTCTTAACTAGTAGTGGATCCTCCTGAGGACAGAGAGGGGCAGAGGTGAAATTAAGGCGTTCCCCAAAAGCCAGCCGAAGCCAAGGCACCAACTTACTGTTCCCATCTCGGTAGCTCCAGAATTGGAGGTACTATCTGGGAGTACTGTCCAAGGTAGGAGAGAGTACAGAGAACTGGGGCGAGATGACAAGAGGGGAGAGGTGGACGCTGCACCCACCCCCTACAGAAGGAAGGGATTGCTAAAGCTGGGGCCTGGGCCATGTGGTGGGAGGGCGGGAGGGCTGGAGCAGCTTGGGGGAGCAAGGCTGAGAGACCCACACAGCACACGTTGTTGAATGTGTGACTTTTTGTTTTTAATAGAAAAAATAAACAAAATCACAATGATGAAGCCCAGAGGAATGGGGGCCAGGGTGTCACAGGGTAGGCTCCTGCTCCATGGGCTCCTCTGCTGGCCTGCGGGGACAAGCACAGGGATGCCACTGAGTAGAGAAGCACAGGGATGCCACTGAGTAGAGAGCACTCACTACCTTAGGCCGGGACAGGGGGATGCCAGGTGAGAAGCCTACCTGGGGCTATGCTCTTGAGTGGCAACAGCCTGGGCCTGCTCAGCCCCCACAGAAAGCAGGGCCATGGCGCTCACAGTCTCGGCCTCCTCCGTCTCACCTGTCTGAGCCTCCCGCAGAGAGCAACCCAGACCAGTGGCGAACCTCTGTACACAGCTCCAGTGTTTGCCTGTGGAGAGGGACAGACAAGTTCAGGGAGAGCAGACAGGTCCATATGTACCTGCTAGCCCTGGTACCCCACTGCCCATATGCCTCATCTGCCGGGCAGGTTGAAGTATGAGCCCCTCTGCCTGTCCCCACGCACTCTGGATCTCGATGACTTTCTCTAGTGTGGCAACTGCATTGACGCTGGGTTTCTGCTGCAAGACTGCTTCATCCAAGGGCTGAAGCTGCAGAGAGAAGGAGAGCGGACTCAGAGTGGGATAGAGAGCAATGCCTAGCTCTCCAGCTGACCCCATCCAGCCCAGACATTCCTGTGCTGGCAAGCACTGGCTTTTGGGAGGAAGCCTTGATCAGAAAGTCTTCCTTGGCCAAATATTCTCAGACCTAGGCAAACCTCAAGGAGCCTTTGAGGTCACTGGACCCAGGGAAGTGGATATCCCTGCTGACCCATCAGCCCCACCTGCTGTCCACCTCTCTGTCCCCCGTTCACCTCCACACTGAGCAGAGCCGAGACACAGGCCTCAGAGGCATCACAGATGGCGGTCAAGTCATGGCCTCCCTCCAGGGCCAGCACCACCCGGCCCCCTGCCAGTGTCATGAGCTGCCTGGTCAAGTGGCCAAAACCTTTGCATGGGAGTAAAGAGAAAAAGCTGAATGGTAAATTGTATCAAAGAGACAGAAGGAGAGAAAAAAAAAACAACACAAGAAATGAAACATATCGCACAAAATATGACAGCAGACTTAAGCCCCAATACAGCTACAATGAAGTAAAGTGTCAGTGAACTTAGTGGAGGACAGGCTAAAATGAGATGCATTTCCAGTAGGTAGGTCAAGGCCAGCGAGCTCCAGTGGAAGATACTTGTTTGCTACTCCACCTCTACCTGCCGGTCCCCATGGCAGGGTGGGCAGAGCTAGCAAGTCTTAGACTTGCTCCCTGCAGTGCCAACTTATTCCCTGTCCCCTGTGCCTCAGTGTTCCACACCCTCCCAGACCCCTAGTAGGCTCACATCTGGCGGTGACAGAATAGCCACCCAGTGGAGACAGATGTCCTTCAACAGCATCAAACCCAGCGGAGACTAGGACGACGTCAGGTGAGAACTCGTGGGCAATGGGCATCACCACTGTCCTGTAAAGGGATGGCCCAAGCTAATGCCAACAGAGGCCAGGCTGAGCCTTGCCACGCTCTGTTCTCCATTGAGGCCATACCCCTCCACCACCCCAACTGAGTGCTTGCTACCCCTGCCAGCTCCGGGTCCCACCCCTCCTCTGGCCCTTCTCAGTCCCCACCTGAAGGCTGTCAGGTATTCCACATCTCCAATGGGGGGATCCACACCTCCTGTCCATGCCACATTAACATTGTACCCCACGCCTGGCCCTCCACCAACCTGGCATAAGGTAAGAGAGGTTACTGTCACCGCCCTGGATCCCAAGCACTGCCCCGTCCCATGCCTCCAACGTCTCACTCCATTGACCTGTTTTACCCAGCTGGCAATCAGACCTGTGTGGTCCTCCCCCTGGGAGCCCTCAAATGCCACATGGACCAGCATCATGAATGGGCCTCTGTGGCTTCCTGCCAAGTCCCATCCTGCCAGGTCCCAGTGTGCTACCTCTGGGAAGGGCTGACATGAAGGCCCAGGAGTTGTACCTCTTCAGGAGCCCCAGAGCCCGGGAAGAAGTTCCCATTGTCATAGCGATGCAGCGAGATGTAGAGCACAGAGGGGTCATCGTAGAATGCTTGCTGGGTGCCGTTGCCATGGTGAATGTCCTGATGAGGATAAGTGGAGGGTGCTTTGGGTACCAGTCTAAGCTCTAATCCAAAGGCTAATATGCCACCTGTTCCCCGCCCACCCTACCATTAGCTCTGAAGATGAGCCCACCAATGGCTTCGGGGCCGTGACACTGAATCCAGGCTCTACAGCCATGGATGGATATGGTTTGTCTCCCTGCAGAACCCATTTCACTGAAGTGCAAGGGAAACCCAGGCAAGTAAGAAATTTAACACAGGCAAATAAATTCTGAAGAAGGATCCAACATTTACATAAATTTGTTTTATTTTGAGACAGGGTTTAGCTAGGTAGTCCAGGCTGGCCTTGAACGCTCAATCCTGAGTGCTGGGATTATAGTTGTGCACCATGGCTGCATACATATTTTTAAACCAAAACTGGATTTCAAAAATTCTGCCCTTGCTGGTCAATGCCCAGTGAGTCCTCAGGCACAGTGAGTGGTGTGTTCACTTTCCCCACCATGACAGAAGGCTGAGGAACACCCACAGCCTCAGGAGCAGAGGTGGGGCATCTTTGCTAAGGAACCCAAACAGTGTCCTCACTTAGAGAAGTAGAGGAATACTTTGCACTGCTAGAGGTGGCTGTGAGCAGCACAGTATCACGTTCCTGGTACACAGCAGCCCCAATGGTAAGGGCAAGGAGAAAAAGATTCTAGTAGTGGTGGTCACACCCGGTCCCTATCGCTCAGGGGAGGAAATCATCTGGATGTTGGAGGCTGCTAGGGGGAAGATGCGGTGAATGAGGCTAAAAACACACTGGGGTGTCCCAGGGAGGAACCATCCCACTGAATGAAAGGACCGGCCTGATGAGCTGAGCAGTGGTGGCACTCAGGAGGCAGAGGCAGGCGGATCTTAGTGAGTTTAAGGCCAACCTGGTCTACAGAGCTAATTCCAGGACAGCTAGAACTATTACACAGAGAAACCTTGCCTCCAAAACCAAAACAAAACAAAAAAGGACCTGTCTGATGATGAAGCAGGAAGGATATAAACTGAACATGTGAAGCCAAGGAGTGAGTCCTAGTGCCACCCAAAGGTGGAGGCACTTCTGAAGGCCTTCCCTGGCAGCTCTGCCATCCCTGCCCAGCATCCCAGCCCACTGCCTACCCAGTCCACGATGAGCACCTTGCCCACATTCAGCTTCTGCTGCAGGAGTTTAGCTGTGATGGCTACGGAGTTGAAGAAGCAGAATCCCCTGTGTAGGGAGGAGGAGAGGGCAGGGAGGTCAGCTTGAGTGACATGAGGTTTGCTTCAAGTAAAAGATAGGAAGAGCTGATGGCAGAGGGCCAGGGTCAGGTCAGAGTGGTACTCACATGGCTGTGGACTCCTCAGCATGATGTCCTGGGGGCCGGATGATGGCAAATCCATTCTGAAGTACAAGCAGAAGGATAACTGTCAGGAAAGCCATGCCAGGGACAGGGTAGATACAGGAGAGAAGCACAAGCCAAGTAGGAATGGGAACACAGAAATGCACTTTTATGAACGCCAACTGCAGGACCCCCAGCAAACAGCTGTCTCTCCCCTGCAGATACACACAAGAGCCTCAGGCTTCAGTGCCTACTTGGTCCCCCATGACCCTCAAACCATGGCTGTCCCCATCCTAGCACTCAAGACTTCAAAGTGGCAAAGGAAAATGGTCTTGATGAGCGGAAGTCACTGCTGGCCCTGCACACCTGCTCCTAAAGACACAGGAAGCAGCCAGGAGCGCAGAGGCCACAGTATATCCTTACCTTGAGCTCACCTGCAGCCACCTTGAAGGCCAGCTCTACCAGGCAGCCCACTGCCATTCGCACAGCACTGGAGGAGTGCATCTCATTCCACACAGTGTCGCTGTCCACCTGCAGGGGCAGGAGATCGGGCTTCAGTGTGCCCTCTGCAGGGGGAGGGGAGGAATGGGAGTGGGCACCAGAGAGCAGGCGAGCAGCCACAGGGGCAGGGAGGAAGGGGCCAAGCTAGGAGAGCCACTTGCCCACTCCCACATACCCAACTCACCCCAATACCCCCACAAGGCAGCATGGCATACATCTTCTGGCTGATGGGGCCTGCAGAGAAGAGGGACAGAGATGCTCTGATAGGTGTCCCACTTGCCAGTTGGCATGGGCCATGTAGTCCATGCCAGCTGAGACCTCTATCTTCTGCTATGGTAGGGACATGGCAGGTTGGGAAGAAACACAGACCACCATCAAGTCCACCTTTAAGCCCGATACCCTACAGTATGTTCAATCTGTGTCTAGGCTGATGGCACCCTCTTGGGGATGTGACCCACTAGGACTGCTGGCTACTCTGCCTCGGTGGTCTTTATGACAGCCCATCACACTCAGACTGAGGACACACGTGGGACCATGCCCGGCAACTCACCAAGCAGTTTCTTGCTGTCCAGCTTCTGCCGGTTGAGGGGGCTGGTCCCATAGAGCAGGGTGTGGTACTCAGAATGTACTGTCTGGATTTCATCTAGCGTGGCTTTACGACCCCGGATCCGCTGCCAGAGGAGGTCAAGAGAGGCCAGAGAGCATTGACAAGGCTCAACTCTCTTGACAACTACAGCCCAATGCTCACAGAGCCAACCTCCAGAACTAAAGGATTTGGAGTAACTATGCCTTGGCCCTTGAGAGACCCCACTCCAGGACTCTTTCCCAGGTTAGCTGGGGACCATGAGGGAAGCAGATCACAAGGGATGGAACTGGGGACGTCTCAGAGCTGACTGGAGGGCTAGGGTGTGGGTGAAGCTTTGTTAGGAGGGAGTGAAGGCATCACTCAGATGGAAGTCCCAGCTGAAGGCAGGGGGCTCCCTCACCTCACACTTGCTGAGCAGGCCAGTTTCCTGCAGCCGGGACCAGATGCTCTGGATGCGGCCGGCGTGCTCCGGGTGGACATGTGTGTTCCCGCACGTGCACTGGTGCTTCAGCATGAACGTGTCATAGACCACACCTGGGCCACAGACCCTTGTGTCAGCCAGAACTGTTCTGAACCCTGCTGCACCCTGGTCTTAATGACTATATGGCTACCCTAGCTATCCGCCAACATTCACATACAACCCTCTCTCCTCTCTTCAAACCCAGCCTGGCTGAAGCTGGTCCCACTCTCTGTCCTCTGCAACCCCTTTACCACCCCCATGGTACAGTCCTCCTTCTCCCCATCACATCTGCCCATGCACTGGCCCCCCTGGTGAGGAACCAAGCATGTGGCAGCCTAATGGGTAAAAGCCTTCTGGGTCTACTGGGGCCTCACTGTCAATCCCACAGGGAGGAAGGAGGCCAGGAGGCACAGAGAAGATACGGCCCCCCCAGAGAGTAGGAGCAAGGCTGCCTCTCCTCCTTGGAGAGAAGCTGCTGCTGCTCCCACGAACAGCTGTGGGGCACAGGAAGAGATGAAGACCCCTTTCCCCTCCATGCAGTGTGTATGCAGGACACAGCATGCTACATATCCAAGCCCCTGGTGCACGGTGGATGGATAGAATGGACAGTGGTGGGGCTTACCTGTGGTGAAGAGGTGCTTAGTGGGCTGGTCTGGGGGGCTCTTCATGCTCCCAGGAGCAGCAGGTGAGGACTGGGTGCGGCCCAGGGCCTGATGAGGCACAGTGGCCAGGCTGAGGGGTGCCTGGTACACCTGCAGGGGCTGTAGCTGCTGGGCATCTGTGAACAACTGCAAAGGAGTAAGACAGCTGGGTAAGGCTCAGTCTGAATGGCACTGAGTACAGGGTCCTTTCAGCCTCCAGAGGGCCCCCAAGTCTCTTCCTTCCCCCACCTCCTCCCACTTGCTCCCTCCAGGGACAGGAGACACTCCAGCCTTGCCATCTCCCGGCAAGATGGGGAAGATGGGGCATGTGATGAGTCACTCCAGTTAGTAGCATTGAGGTAAGAGGCTGAGAAGGACAGGGGTGGGTGGGTGGGGGCGGGATGAGTCAGGCCTAAGGGCTTGGGGCTGTGTCCGCAATGAATGGAGCGCACTAGGCTCAAGGCACACTGTAGTAACAGTGGGGGCGTGTGTGTACACATGCACACATGCAAGCAGAGACCAACACACAACCAGCCGACGCAGGCACAAAAGCAGATACACACAGGCCCTGTGCACGCAGAAGCGCACTCGCACAGTTAAGAGACAAGGGCAGTCACAAAGGGAGAAGAATGCCAGGCAGGCACAGCTCAGGGACCATACAGGATCCCCCTCCTACTCCCCCCAGTCTCTCCTCCCCTTCTTGTTCTTTAGAAAGCTGCTCAAGAACTGGCAACCGCACCACTGGGGACTGACAATCAAGAGAGCAAATCGGGATGGGGAAGGACAGTCAGTGGAGACCAATGTGTGGGAGGTACCTTTTTGTAACCAGCATTGGACTCCTCTAAGTCGGGTCCCTCATCAGGACCACTCTCGTCTTCCTCATCCTTGACCTGAATGCAGTCTTCGTCTTCCTCCTCTTCATCCTCCTCCTCTTCTAGGTCTTCCTGGGTGCTCTCGCTCTCTGTGGAGCCTTCCCGGGGCATGGTCAGTGCCCCCTCCCCCAGCAAGGCCTCTTGCTGCTCTGTCAGCTCCTCCTCTGTCTCCTCGGGGTGGGTGGTGGGCTGCCTTGGCAGCTCCCCCGTCTTGGTAAGGATCTGGGAGAAGAAAGCGCATTGTCTGGGGATGGGAACTTTTAGCCTTTCTCTCCCTGTCCCAGCCAGGCACCTGGCCACGGGACTCTATGGGAATTGGAAACCGCGAAGGTGGCTCCTCCAAGCACTCAGCTCCCCAGGTTCAGCCACCCCCACCCCCCCCCACCCCTGTCCCGTGTGTCTAGCCAGCCTGGGTCACTTCCGGGTAGCCCAGGACATTGCCTGTCTGCATGTACCTTGCCCAGCTGCATCTGCTGCTGCTTCTGCTTCTCTAGGAACTGCTGGTGCTGCTGCTGCATAACCAGCTGCTGCAGGGCCTGGGGACTCTGCGGCAGTGGAGAGGACTGAGTGCGGCTCAGAGGTCGGTGCCTCGGGAGCTTGCCCACTGTCCTCATGCTGCTGGCCACACGCTCGCCCGTCACCAATGGGGACTGCCCATGGAGTGGCACTATGGAGGTGGAGAAGGTAAGTAAGCACTATTTGGAGGGGTGGGGGACCCTGTCCCCAAGGCTCAGCCCCATTCTCTCTCCTCCCTATACCTGAACAGTGAGTTCTGAGCCACGGACACAGCAAGCCCTCCTAGGGTCACTTTTCTGTCCCTCTGATTTGTCTGAGTGTGCACAAGTAGTCCTGGGCCCACCACAGGCAGGTACAATGACCAGTTCTCTCCATCTGCGACAAGATCCCCCTGCTGGTAGACCTTGTAGATGCTGCCAGGCTGAGAAGTTCTGGGCCAAGGCCATGTGTCTTTCTAGCAGAGCCCCTAAGAATGTTGGCAAGTACTAAGGGCCAACTGTCTAATGCTGTCCAATGTCACTGCTATGGGCAATAAGTGAGCCCTTGAAACACGGCCTAAATTGACATGCGCTACCAGAATGAAACATATATGGGATTCCAAGGCTTACATGAAACAAAAACTCAAATAATAATAATATTCTAGATAGAAGTTAAATATATAAGCCAGGCAATGGTAGCACATGCCTTTAATCCCAGCACTTGGGAGGCAGAAGTCTCTAAGACTTCAAGGACAGCCTGATCTACAGAATGAGTTCCAGGAGAACCAAGGCTACACAGAGGAATCCTGTCTCAGGAAAAAAGGAAAGAAATATGTATTATTAGATTAATTCCACCCATTTCTTTTTTTCTTTTCTTTCTTTTCTTTTTTTTTTTTTTTGTTTTTTTGTTTTTTTGTTTTTTTGTTTTTTTCAAGACAGGGTTTCTCTGCGGTTTTGGTTCCTGTCCTGGAACTAGCTCTTGTAGACCAGGCTGGTCTCGAACTCACAGAGATCCACCTGCCTCTGCCTCCCAAGTGCTGGGATTAAAGGCGTGTGCCACCACTGCCTGGCTCCACCCATTTCTTTAAGAAAAAAATATGTTAGGCTTGGAGGCACCCATCTTTAATCACAGCAAAGTACATTAGATCATTGAGTTAAAGGTTAGCCTGGTCTACACAGTGAGTTTGAAGCCAGCCAGAGCTACATAGTGAGACGATGTCTCCAAAAAAATAAATAAAAAGTAAAATAGTGTTTGCATGCTGTTTCTGTGTGCAGCATGTAGAAGCCAGAGGACAGTCTAGGGTGTCAGTCCCTGCCTAACACAGCGTTCTTACTATTTACTGCTATGTACACCAGGCCAGCTGGCCTGAGAGTTCCCAGGAATTCCCCTGTCTCCGCCTCCATCTCACGTGGGAGTGCTCGAAATACAACCTTGTACTAACTACCGTGTCTGGCTGTGCATGCAAACTGGGGATCTGAACTCAAGTCCTCACACCGGCATGGCTATCCCTTGACCCAGTGAGCCACCTTCTCAGTCCTCTTTAAAGTGTTAAATGTGGGGAAAGTTTTAAATCAAGTGTATGGTTAGTAGCTTGGTATGATATGTCATGTCTGTAATCCTAGGACTCTCGATGCAGAGGAAAGAGGACTGTCAGAAGTTTGAGGTCAACCTGGACTACATAGTGACACAGTGAACCCACCTAACTGAATAAACTCAGTGTGGTCTGCGTTATTCCTGCTGGCCAGCTCTGCTATGGAATATGAACTTGGTAACAGTGGCAAGTTCGGTCAAGTGCCTGGCATACCAAACACTGGTACGTGATGTTTTCAGAGCATGGGAGAAATCAATGATGTTGCTAATGATTGTGGCAAGGCTAAAGAGTATCCCTGGCTACTTTTGTCTACGAGATAGGTCTGACTTGAGCTACCGTGAGAGTCAAACACCCCTTCTCAGGCACACAGTTATCTACTCACCAGCTATAAGCGTGCTCTGCTGCCGGGCCTGTTCCAGCAGCAGAACATGCTGCAGCAGGGAAGCATGCCCGTGAGGGCTTGTGTCGCCCTCCAATGTCACGCCCAGCAGGCAGCCAGGGATGGACGATGTGCTCATGAACTTGCCAGTCAGCGTGCTGCCCTGCCGCAGGGACTGAAGGGCCTGCCTCTCAGCCTCCTGCTGTGTCGACAGCTTCGGGGAGGCCTGGTGAAGTTGGAGGGTGATGGTAGATAAGGCACAGACTGATACTGCCCCTGTCTTACCAACTCAGACCAGCATCCCTCTTGTACCCTCTGCCCACCCACCAGATCAGGTCATGCCAGCTCAACTCTCATAGGGCCTTGGGGAAGGTAAGTCCGAGCTAGGATATGTGCCCTGTACTTACGGTGAGGTGCGAGTTGGTGACGGTGACTGTGGCCTGCAGCCCTAGGGAGATGTTGGGCAGAGAAGGAGACGTGTAGAGGCTGAACTGGTTTGGGGAGCTGTCCAGAGGGAGGGCCCGGTGCTGGGGGAGCATCTGGGGAGCAGTCAGGAGAGACAGGCATGAAAGCAGGCAAAGGAGAGACAGCCAAGAGGGGCGACCTGGACAAAGTCCAACAGCTCTGAATGGTCTCTCACTCCCCCAACCCTGAACCCCAAGTGGGGGTAACAGAGAGATCAGATCCCTTCAGGGGCCTGCGGGACAAATCTCTTTTCAAGGCAACATATCCAGGCAAGACCTCCAAATGTACACAGGGGGATCTAGGCTGAACACTCAGCTAGGCCAGAAGGAGCAAACTCCTCCTTCCAAAAGAAAGAGAACCTCTGTGCCCCCTACCCCGTCCCAGCTTCAGTCAGTCCTGTACCTCAGTGGGGATGTTGGGGACTGAGCCAGTAAAGCCGTTCTCAGCGATGGTGCTGTGGGAACTGTTGGGAGAGCTGGGGCCAGAGCCGGGCGCACTGTTACACACGGACGACACTACAGGAGAAGTGGCTGTCACCTGGGCCTGCTCTGAGCCACCCCTCCTCCCAGACCTTCACAATTAGGACAGGAGAGGAGGCCTTACCCCCAGGCCCCGTGCCTGTGATTTCAACTGCTCTCTTCTTAAAGGTGCTAATAACAGTGCCGTCCTTCCGACGCAGGAGGGGACTGCTTCTCCTCTCGGCCACCTTCTGTTTTAGCCTCGAACGTACTTTTAAGTTGGGTTCGGAGGCTGGAGAGAAAGGGGCTGGACTCAGATCGATCTACACACCAACCTGAAGCCCAGCCCACCCGTGGAGGGGAGAGGGGGACAACTCAAAGCCACAACACTGCCCTTGGCATAAGCCCACCTCTACCCCAGAAGCCATATTCCTGGAAGCCAGGACTCACCCACCTGTTTTGCGGAGGGGGAAGTCATCACGGCTGTCATAGGGCCCAAGCAAAGGCAGTTTGTAGGAGGGAGGCGTCCCAGGAGGGCCGCTCTGGGGAGGGGAACTCTGGTCCAAAGAAGCATGGTGGGCTCCCCTGGGGGTGGGGTGGAAGCAGGATCTGGGTTACCACTTACCCACTTGACCTGCCACCGAAGGCAAGTTGTTTGATTTGCAAGATTTTGTTTTGTTTGTTTTTATATATGTTTTGAACGAGGGTCTCATACAGCCCAGGCTAGTCTCAGACTTGCTATGTAGTTGTAGACAAAAGTGAACCCCTAGTCTTTCTTCCTCTACATCCTGAGTGCTACATCTATAGGCATAAGCTACCACACACAGCGTAGGAAAGGAGAGTTATGGAAAGGCTACATGAGGGATGGTTACCTGCACCCCTCTCCCTCATGGAACTAGGGGTCTACATTACAGAGGGAAAAAAACATGGATCCTGGGAAAGGGAGGAGAGAAATAGGATGGAGAGCTCCCTACTAGGACAGACTGCAAAATTCAAGAACGGTTGCAAAACAGGGAGCCCCAAGCCATCCTATAATCAGGCAGCCCCTGAGCAGGGCCCCCCTTGCCAACCCTTGCCCCCCAGAGCCATTACCAGCATTTGGGGTGCTGTGGGAGGGAATGGTTGAGGCTGCCTGGCGTGGGCTCCTTTGACTTCGACAAGAGGAATTCCTGGAGCCTCAGCTTGACCTCGGTGCTGGCGATGGCACCTATGGGACAGGGCACAGCTGAGCTGGGTGCCTGGAGCTTGGGCCACGGCGTGGTAGGGCCCAGGAACTGCCCATTGGTCTTACTCTCTTTGCTCTTCTCCTTGTTGCGTAGGATAAGCAGCTGCTGCTCCAGCCGCTGTTTCTCCAGCTCCTCTTGCCGCTGCTGTTCCCGCTGCCGCTGCTGCTCCAGCTCTTGCTGCCTCTTAGCTGCCAGCATCTCCTGCTGCTGCTGCGGTGGGTGCAGGAGGGCAGAGGCGGTAGTGAGCCAGGCCCAGGCAGGGCTGCCACTCTGGTGGGCCCCAAGCCCCCCTTGCTCACCTTGAGATGCTTTTGCAGCTGGACTTCATG